ATGCGAGAAGTCTCGCTACAGCAGATCTTCGCACTCATACCCACCACTGTCAATCGCTATCTCGATTTTGCACTCAATATCCTCCTTGAAACTCTACGGGGCATGCCTGAAGCTGCCATTCACTTTCCAGACCACAATGAAATCATTGACGACAATCTTTTAATCTGTGCGCATCATTCCAAACTCTTGGGCAGCTTTGGAAGCATTGACAGGCTGAGTCTGCCATGTCAAGCAGCTGATGATCCTGAAGTCAAGAATGCTATGTATAATGGGTGGAAAAGTTCGCATTTCATATCTAATGTGCTAGCATTTTCACCATGAGGTGGGTTCAGCTCAATCTTTCAATATCTCATTCTCATACTCATGTTTTCAGGTGTCATCATATCTGCAGTACTCAATGCCCCCGGAAGCTGGCATGACTCTCACACATCTTGCCCAATCTACAATCAGCTTCGACGCAAGACTCCTGATGGTTACTACCTCATTGCAGATTCTGCATTTCCTCGTGGGACTGCAGCTATCTCAGGCAAGATTCAATCCCCACTCAAAAGCCGTGTGGTCCTTCCTGAAAACGCACACGAGCAAGATGAACTCTTGGCATTCAACCGCCAGCTACTCTCATACCGTCAGACAGCTGAATGGGGCATGCAGATGATTCAAGGCTCGTTTGGCCGACTTCGTGTCCCACTTGATGTTAATGATCAGGCAGGGCGGCAGAGGCTTCTGGAGATATGCGTCAGATTGAGTAATGTGAGAGCTATTTGTATTGGTATTAACCAGATTCGTAGCGTGTACATGCCAATATGGAAGGCATCTGAGGACGAACAGTTGTGGATGGACTTAGGCAATCTTCTTTTTAGTGATATCCGTCAGCGGGATCGTGTGGCTCGTTATCACCTATTAGTACAGACTGAATAGCCACATTACAGACAAATCAATTCTTTTGTTTTGAACAGACAGGCTAAACGACTGACTACAGTCACAGTGCACTACTATTCTTACCATTCTCTTTTGCAATGTCGGATGTGAGCAGCGCTAGTGTGTCGAGGCCATTACTATGATTTGCTGAGGTTCCCGAAGGCCCAGCAATAGGTGAGAGAGGAGGAAGAACCTGGGGTTCAACGTGATGCTCGAGTGTTGGAGATGTGGGTGTCCATTGAGGGGAACAACGAGAAGGAGAGGAGTGATGGTGACGGTAAGGCTGCCGTCAAGGTGGAGAATAGTGAGACCATGAAGGGGTAGGGGTACAAAAAGGCCGTGAATCATCAGTACGGGCCTGCCGTCGAGGTGGAGAATAGTGAGACCGTGAATGGTGAGACCGTGAAGGGGTATGATAAGGCTGTGAATCATCACGTGATGACAGCATATACTTGAGCATATCAACCTGGCTCTCAGCATGGTCAGCATGGCGAGCCTCTTGTAACAGGCGGTCATTGAGACCTTCAATTCGCAGACGAGCCTCATGAAGTTCAGTCTGCAAGGTGTTGATCTGGTTAAATTGAACCATCTGTGACAGTCGGCTCTCGTCATGGTCCTTCATGACTGTAGGGTTAAAGACTGATGTGAGTGAAGAGAGTGCCTCTGAGGCAGCAGTAGTGCGTGGACGTCGAAGGCCAGGTTCAAGCAAAGGATTTGCGCGAAAGGCCTTGACGACAGATTTCTTTGAGCCAGTGTGCTTGGATTTGACACTTTTCAGTTCCTCGTCATCATCAGTGGAGATTTCAACAACATCTTTCACCTCCGTATCACTTTTGCCATCACTGGCCCCGTCATCCCACTCTGAGTCATCCAAGGCAATAGTGCCTGCCTTGAGAGAAATGGCTGCTTCAATTTGATGAGCGAGCTCAACATAAGCAGGCAATTCGCCGTCACCAGTTGGTTTTTCAATATGAGTGATCTATTAGTATGCAAGCCATCAATAGTTGAACTTGTGAGAAGAAAAAAAAATATACCGCATCATACTTGGCTCGAATAGCTTTAGTCGAGCACTCCGAAACACAATTACATCGAGCCCATTCATTATAACTGACAGTAACAGCATCCCATGCTTTACCACCAAGCGAGATACACTTATTGATCTCCTTGAGAAGACGCTCAACTTCTTCAACGGAGTATCCAGCGGCACCAGCCTTGCGTCCCTTTTTGGGGGCCTCGCTGCCATCAGGCTCCAGCTTGGGCTTAGCCGTCCCCTTGGCCTTGCCACCTTTCGACTGCACCTCAGTTTTCTCCTTCTTGGCAAGAGGCTTTGACACTTGTCCTGATGGTGCTGATGCACATTTTTTGCCTTTAGCTGGAGGCGGGAGTAACGGTTGTTCCAACTCATCATCAGACGAGGCTGGTTTTTCGTCGAGTCGAGGTGTAGAGTGAGGACCGACATGAGTTGAGGTAGAATGAAGCATGGGGGCAGGTTGAATTGGCATGGGGGCAGGGTGACTTGAGTACATAGATCTGGGTGTGTACATGTGGAGAGGTGGAAGGCTGAAACCATGGTGTGTGGGGTGGGAGTTGGACAGTTGAGGCAGCGGACCCTGCCTAAATGAACGTGAAGCTTCGAACTACATAAAGGTTGTCAGCACAAGAAGCAAACATGTAAAATCTCGCTTACCTCTGTAGTATGGTTAAATGCCTGAGGGTGGCCATAATGCGCGAGTTCTGCATGGTTATGTTCTTGACTGGCTGAAACGAATCCTGATGGGGTGGACTGTGAATTATTCACATTGGAGATGTCGGAAATGGTCGAGGGGGCACTGAAATGGGCAGAAGATGACATTTTGAATAAGGAAAGCAAGTGACGAAAGGATGGTAGATGACAAGCTCGACAGAAAAGCTAAGGACAGAAGGGAATCCAGGAGACATTGTTTCGGGACAGGGCCACCTAAATAGGAATGAAAATCGCCCAAATCAGGTGTTTAGTACACTGAAACCGCAGTTCAGACATCTGTGGAGGGGTAGCTACCCCTCCACAGATGTCAGATTTACAGAATGATGGAGCAGCGAGCATTTGACAGGTCGAAGGCACTACCTACCAAATTTGGCTCGGCTATTCGGCTAACTTGTGTTTTGGACGTGGCATTATCAGGAATTTTCCTGTAAAACCTTACGGGAAGTCAACCACTGATTGTTGGGTGAGAGGCGATGGTCCGTGTGAGAACATAGCGACTGTGGTGCAGATGGAGTTGGGTGCGGTTTGAGCGGTGGTTGGGTAGTGCGGGATAGTCGAAGAGGAGGCGGCGGTTGTTTCGGCTGTTGGGATACTTGGGAATTCTCAATCTAAATCACTAAGAGAGGTCAGCGCACTCAGGTTATCAACGTTGCGGGTGTTGGTGAGTGTCGGTTGTTCGGGCGTTGCGCAAAATGCACCTGGTAAGAAATTCCTGGGGTTGTCTAGCGCTTCAAAATCATCTGATGATTCGCCTTGTACAGAATCCTTTGGTGAAGGCATGACTGGCGAAGCGGGTGCGTGGTTGCATGCTACAAATAAATCCAGGTCGGGGCGGGTCGGTTCTGAAACGTTGTGCGGGCGGCGCTTGTTTTGCGTCGTGAATAATTCTTTGATGGGCGTTAACTGCGTGTGCGGGAAAGTGCGGTTGAAACTATCAATCGCTTCCTGGAGCGCGGTGCGGTCCTTCGTAGGTCTCAGCTTCCTACTAGTCTTCTCAGATGATCCCCTCGCAGTGGGCTCCAGTTGTGTGTGAGGAATGATAGCTAGATGAGAAGGGGTGAAAGGGTGAGAAAGGGTGAAGTGGGGTAAAACTCAAATAGACCTCTGGACATGAGTATAGATTCGGCCCAAGGGGATTGCTACTGAGAACGATTCCTCTAAGTAAAAATATGGAGGGGAAACTTTGAACTGGTAAGAGTAACTGAGAATGGAAGAGCGCGCGACGTTGCGCTTGAAGCAATGCGAGCGCAAGTGAGCCGCCGAAGGTGCGATATGATGTGCGACCGAACGGCCGAAAGTTTGACAGAGTGCGGAGATGCGGAGAAAAGCCGACGGTTTATATGAACGTGCGACTAGCGGATATATGAAGGAGATGCGACACGACGATAGTGAGGGAAGAGAGTTCTGACTATAGATGCAATGAGCAATGAGTGGATGATAGCGCGACCATTAATACAGCGCGTGATGTAGTTGGCCGAAGGTTTCTGACTTAGAGTCTGAGTGATGCGTGCAAACGGATGATAATTTCGATAGCGGGAAAAGAAGAGATACATGAGAATTCCTAAGTCTAAAGTATATATTGTAGCGCGTGTAGCGCTGTTCGGCACTGAGAAGATAATGGTAATACGTATTAAGGGTCTATAACGCAAGTAATGAGACATACGCGATATCACCTCCGAAAATATAATCAGTCTAACGCGAATGAGATAAAATACGCACCAATGGACAAGCGGAGGACATGGATAGGATGGAGGAAGGACACGCAACGGAACTGACAAAAAGCGGATGCAAACCAAAGTGTGCACGTGAGCCGCGGCCGTTGGCCGACGATAGGAAGGATGCGCACCGTGGTAGTGATAGCATGCGCTGCGCTAGGACCTGAGGGACACTGCAAAAATAGCCTCTACGAGGCTACAAGGACTACAAGTCCTACACCGGGCTCTACTCCCGTTTGATGCTGAGTGTGTCGATCAATTCATGCGATGCTCACATGGCATCCATTACTGCATCCACCGGTCCTTCCATAATGCATCCACGGCAAGATCACCTTCCTCTACCTTTGTGAGCAGCATGCAATGCAAACCTTCTCCCAGCCGTTGCATGTTTTTCCTGATGCAGTGAACTTGGTGCAGCAAGGGATCACGGCCGGTGGGCATCTGGGGCAGCTTTGGGATCAGGAGATGACCCACAGGCTGGGCATACACAAAATGATCAGAGAAATTCTGCTGAATCCGAAGAGAAGTACTCACCAGCTGTTCAACATGCTCCTCAACCAACTCCTTGACCTCAAGGAGGGAGATGTGGTTGGGCATCTCAAAAAGACCGAGGTCGAAATGATCCTTCCACCAGCAATAAGCATATTGATTGACAATTCAGCAGCGGGCCGTGATGTCTCCGTCCACCATACAGTCGAAGTTCTCAAATGCATCGTAAAGTTTGTTGTTGTCCAGGGCTCCGATCTGCCAACCTGCCAAGATCTGGACGACATCACACAGATACATCGGCATGGAGGGACTGACATGACTGGCCGCGCAAATGTTGATGAACGGGAAGACGAACCGCTGTGGAACATCTCGGGAGCTGAAACACCGGAACCAAAGTATACAAACGCACCTCGGCTTCCCATACCAAATAACGGACAAACTGCGAATGGTAAGCATCGGTCCGGGTCACATGACTTCGCTGGAGAGAGAGCTGAATGCTGGTAAATCGGGAGGTGGCATACTCCAAGACGTTGGCAGCATCCCAGAGTGACAATGTAGAGTCCTCCGATCTGTAAAGGTTGTTGGACATGTTGAAGACTGAATGATATTGTGGGGATAGTGTTTTTGTATAACAGTAGGGAGGGAGTGCAGCGTATAAATAGACGGAGCTGGAAATGGCCACAGCAAACCTTATTGTTTAAACGTGGCTATTGTGCCACATTGACATGTGGAGAATGAAAGTCCAATATTGTTCTTGTCCAGTGGACCGGATGTGATTACCTCATAAACACCACAAAGTATGTGACAAGTCCATTTGGGTGATCCCGAATGATATATTGTTTACCCGAGAACTACCGAGAAGGGAGTTGCCGCGTGCATAGATACCTCCCGGAATCAACAATATTGAATCAATGCCCACACGATCCTCCAAGATGACCCACCAAATAGTGATTAGAATGAGTCATTCAGTAATTCAATCAAATGTTCCTCCCGATGTGGGAATGTAATGCTCAGTTATTCCATTTGAATTCCGGGTTGACTTTTGAGAAGCTGGTATTGGCCGCATCAGCCAGCGCCCGATACACCTGCACCTGTCTAACTGCATAGCATTTATGCCCATCCCGATCTCGGTTGCCTGCATCTCCTTCAGCTCTAGCCAACCATGCTCTGCTTTTGAATATGAAAAAATCCATGGTCCATCGCATTTCATGCTCCACTAATAATAACTCCTCAGCCCAACGGTCGCACAACGATTTTGTGCGGAGCCAATGCACCCTGTAAACTATTGAGACATTAAGGAGGAAGATATCACATATATAGAAAACTTGCATTCGGTCATCCAATCGCTGCTGGTGGAATCAGCCTGCACCTCGAATGACCAAAACCACGGAAGAGTAGAGTTTCTCTGCCCCTGGGCATTTGGGTCCGCTACTGCCGCACTTGTCTTTAAGTCTTTCTTGTCCAACAGCCGATATTTCTCCAACACACTGAAGGCCTCCAATTTGACTAGCTGCTGCCAACATTCCGTATAAATGTGGGTGTTAAGCCTGATCACCTGCTCTACTGAATGCACTTGCACCCAGGCCCTGGTTGACCGGGCCTGCGATTTAGCTGGACGAACTGTGGTGCAAAAGAGAACAGCTTTATCTGCGAGATGAACCCGGAGTAGGTGCAAAAGATCGTTGGCCTGTCCTTCTCTCAGGGTAATCTCCTGTGCGACGAGGTCTGTCACCGAGAGTTCATCGCACCATGCCAAGCCGATGTTTGATGGAAGAGGAATGACGGTAATCTCGGGGCGAAAGACTGCCGCAGGACCATCTTCCAAGGGCTCTATGCCAACTTCCTGCCAATTGTCTTCGGGAGCATCTGTATCATCGTCGACGAATGCTAGATCCATGTCCAGCACATCATCATCCTCGTCAAAACCTTGACCAAGATATCGTTCAGCAGCCAGGTTGAATTCATCGATGGTGTGTTGCAAAGCGACCCTGTGACGGGCGATAGACAGTTTTTGAGTCTCAGTAGGATGTCTGCCGAGCTTTCGTATGTCTATGGCCAAAGCTATCTGGGACTCCTCAATGGTGATGCCGGATGCTATCCAGGTGGCAGCGCCAAGCCTGCGATGAGCTTCGGGTCGACACCCTTGAGATTGCAGGATATCGAGCTCCACTTGTTTCCGACTCGGCACTATGCTTGGGTCAACTGATTATTGCGCAGCTAATTACATCTGCCACAATACATACCCTTTTCCAAGCAAACCTCATATATATCCATGGACGACGGGTCTTCCGCCTGAGATGCATTAGCAGCTGTTTCTTGCTCTTGCCATTCTGTCACCGTGTCTGTTACGCACTCAAATAGATCTGTTAGGCGGAGCCCTAAGAGGGGCGTCGTCCGCTAACGTTCGTGACGTAACCGGAAGGATCCGGTATAGCAAGTGGGACTGGCGACGACGAGTCGGCAGCGATCACAGTACGTGCGTGTCACGTGACTTCGTAGACGGATGTCTGAGAAGTCACTCAAAGTAAGGACTGTCTTGTCCGAACGATGAGGTCGATCGAGGTAGACTTAGTCGCGATGAGCAACTAAGAAAAGATACTAGAGACTGAAGCTGAGGGGGCTTCAGAGAGAAGTATGTTCCAGGGAAGATTGAGTAGATTCAAGTTAGAGAATCTAGTACAGGGTGACCGACTACTTATACTGAGTGGAGAGGGTTAAGGGCAAGGCTACCGCACAGTAGGTAAGGGTAAAGGGGAAACGAGAATGGTATAGGTGCGTTGGCAACATAGCCGGATTAGTGATGGGTGGTCGAATATGGAATGAGACCGAGAAACGTTGGAATGAACCAACGGTAAGAATACAACGTGCGGGAATCCGCAGTCAGAGGGAACAGAAAAAGGAAAGCCACATTGGTGGCACGAGTCAGACCGAGTCATAGGTGCAGGACCACATTGGTGGTCGAATCAAGGGAGGAACGTGCGTGCACGTGCATAGAGGCGGGCGATGCGAGGGACAGGAACGGTCCCGAGGATCCGGTCAACGGAAAGTCGGTAAAGGAGGACGAGCCGGTAGATGGTGAGGGCGAGGATGAAGGGAAAATGATAGGGGGGCCACGTGACCGATGTTACTTGTAACAGTGTCGGGATCCGCGCTCTCATTCAATTTTTCGAAGGCTTTGCTGCTCTCGGCAGCACCTCGCTTGGCTTCTTTGTATTTCCTACAAAGGAATATGCCTGCAGGATGATCAGTGGGGCTATCTGCGGCCATCACATGTCTTACTCATTCTGATCATCTTCATGAAATTGCAGTCATTCATCTGGTAGTCAAGACACTCCTGCCGATGAGGAGTGGACATACCTCGGCAGGAAGGAGATATGATGTTGAGAGGTGCCCACAGCGTCTCCATGATCTCCCCATCAATTCTTGCCACTCCCGTGATAAAATTCGAAGCGTATCTCACGTAGCACTGGTCCTGGTGACCGTGCACATGCCAAAGACCAATTCCTGGAATGACCTCCATTCCAAATGGGATTGCCAAATATGGGCTGTCCTCGATCCAACGCAATAGATATTTGTTGTACTGGCAATTCACGTCGTAAAACGTCAAAGCAGTTTCCAATCCTTGAGTGTTGTAACCGAGAGTGTTGCAAAGCGCGTAGTCCATGTTCATTTGCCTGGTCCCGAAGGTCAGCCAATATGAACAAAGCCATTTTCGGGAGGTCTCACCTCTCGCCCTTCTGAAAATCCACCATGGAATGAGGGACAAAGCATCCGTGTCTGGCACAGGCACACCCACCGATGCCTGTAGCTTCCAATTTGTGCTGAGATGCATTGGCCTGATTCACTGCCCGGTGGTTGTTGCACTCAGACCTTTGCATTGAATCCGTTGCTACGGCCAAGTGAGCCTTGTACCTTTTCCTACTGACCATGAACCCAAGGCCGTCCATGAGCCATACTTCATCGTCTGGATTGGTCGGGTGGTGATGCTCGGCTTTGAAATTTCCATCCATGACCAACGAGCAGCCATACAGCCATCTCAGCTTCATTTTGTTGTATTCGGTTGGCAGCATGACATTGATCCCAGGTTGTGGGCATGTCGGGCAGAAGAGACCCAGCTCGCCCGGTTTGGGATGCATTCTTCCGTGAGCAAAACCATTCCATCTGAGAAGCTTCAGCTGCCGCCATTGCCTTGCCACTCTCATCAATTCCCTGTATCTATCCTGCCGAGCTGTCGGATCAGCATCAATATGCAGCCATCCTCTGGATTTGTCCTACCGGTACTAGGTGAGGGAAGATGCTGGACGTTCTCTGCCGCAATTTATTGTAATAGTTCATAGCAGAAGTGCCGGACTCTACATTGTCAAGCGCAAAATCGTTCAGCAAGGCAAATGTGAATGTGGTCCTAGGCTGGGTGAAAGAGGCCAGGAACAAACCCATTTGAAACAACTGTTTCTCCGCATTGGGAGCATCGGTGCATTGGCAGAAACGGATTATGAGATAATGTATGCCCATGATATCAACCACTGTTACCCGCACGATGCACCCGACGACGGGCATTCCCTTGTGTCCTGAAGTACCATCAGTTGGAGAGGAGTCCTCATCGTCAGTAAATTCCTTGATGGCTGGCATATCCACCGAATCGTTGTCAAATACATCCTTTTCCTCCCGACGGATCTCTTCAGGTCCTCCCGTGTTCCTCGGGCATGGGAGTCCCCTATGGCCGAGGTGGTACTCCATGCCCAATTTCGTCAATGAGCTCTCCTCGAAGAAGTCTCCATTCCACTGACTAATCTTATGGAATGGCAGTTGGACATGCTGTGTTTGGCAGCACTCACTGCAGAAGATCGGCTCAGAAAAACAGTCGTGACACCTATAAGCTCCATCTCGGTCGCACAACGAACACACCCTGTCTGAATGAGGAGCCTCCCTTGCCATGAACATATCCAGGTAATCCTTGGTCCTGTGTTTCCATTCCCTGAGGTAGTCATTTGGACCCTGCGATGATGCTGTCAGCCGGAAACCAGTAGATGGAGATGTGGGAACAGACTTGCCTTTGTTTTCTTCCTCTGCCTCTTTGTATTAGGGAATGGAATGGGCCCTTGCCCCTTGTGCTCGAAATCAACATCACAGTCTGGGAATAATTGATAACACAAGATGTCTGAACCTAGCTTGGTTGGAGATTTCGTCAGCAAGGACGAAACAGACTTGCTTGGTTGAGTGCATTTAACCAGGACCCACCTGGGTTTGAGACCTCAAGTGGTTTTCTTTGGCTTCCATTCCACCAGCTGAGCTGTGCCCCGAGGAGTGCATTCCTTTATTATTGTCCTGGCCATTGGGCTGAAATGTGAAATCGGAGGTCAAACCAAAGTCGTTGTTAATGTAATAACAGCATTACCTATAGATTCTATTAGCCTATTATGTCATCATGACCAAATAATTTCAGATACCATAATGTCATGAAAGACTATTCTGTTGCATCATCAGATGCATTTCACGTAGTGATCGTGTAGTCCAGTCTATTACAGAATGATGTTATGAAAGCATGCAGCATAGTGATAGTGCATAATGCTAGTCTATTACAGAACGATGTCATAAGATTGTCTTGCACAAGTGATAATGATATGATCTGGTAGTCTGTTACATAATACTGTCACCAAAGGGTTAACCAAAAATGCTGATGATGGTCCAGTGTCACACATTCCAATTTCCTTCACTGAACCCACCTCCATTAGACTCTACTCAACACTTTCATTTCTCACATCCTTCTCCACCCTTCCACGCCCACATCATCCATTCTATCTATACATATATGCCAGACAGTGGCTCTAACCAAGCCAAGGATGCAAATACTCAGCCGGCATTGACTCCAGAGGAGCTTGTCATCCTGCAGTCCTATGTCAAACAATGGGAGTCTGCTGCAGGTGAGGACCGGAATCAGGTATGGAAGGATGCGACACTAGAGGCTCGATACAAGGCCCCTACGAAGGACAAACAGCTGCTCGAGAAACAAAAGAAGGTGAGTATAGAGTAGCTTGTAAGGAACACCTTCGGACTCATCTTTCAGGTGTACCGAAATTGGCTTCACAATCATGGCGGCAGGAAGCAGGACCACAAACCCCCCATCAACATGGGAAGGAGGTGGACTTATCATTGGGTCATCGACACACTCCGGAAGCGGGAGCTGTTGAACAAGATACAGGATGACACAGGGGTAAAACCTGGATCGACAGAAATGATCCAGCATCATTTCAAGTATTTGAGTGCATTGATAGAGTCTTTGACAGAGGAAGAAATTCAGGAGGCTGTTACGACAAGCGGTCGTGTGCGACTAGGATGATCTAAACAGCGACAACCACGACAGTGGTACCGAGTGCTGAGAGTCGTCGGCCTTTACAGACAAGCAAAGGTTGCGTACTCGAACGTAGCTCGTGGTGGTTAACGAGGGGTTACGCTGAGATGATAGCAGAGGTTACAGACAGTGAGAGGCGTCACTGAAGGTACAAGTCGATGTCGAGCAGGTAGCTTTAGCGGGACAAGGAGTTCAAGGGAAAACCTAGTTGATTAGACTAGTTCTGGGTTGTACCTAGTAAGATTAAAGTAAGGAACATCTACTTTAATCTTCGACCTTATATAAGGCTACTCTATCGTGTCTAAGCTCAGCTCGAAGCTGGGTTCTAATCTGCTTATCTACTCGAGTCAGAGATAGCGTCCATGAGGCGGGCTTCTATCGTAGATAGCGTCCATGCGGTACGCTTCTATCAAAGATAGGATCCACGTGGTATCCTTCTATCAGTACATGAGGCAACACGAGGCTTGCCTTCTATCAAGATAACATAAATAGGTCTTCTAGACCTATGTCGTCATGTCATGTCACGTGCGGTCCAGACCGCTTATCTAAGCCGGCAGTTGCCGCTTATCATCTATCCTCATCTATCGTCATCTATCGTCATAGGGCTGGTGAGACCCTGTATCGTCTATAGCCATGCGGTGGCAGAGGGCTCTCTGCTGGCGGGGGACTCGTGCCATGTTACTGTAACAGAGGCCGTCAAGACAGCAGAAGAGTGGAACAGTCAGGGCGTTCCTCCCGAGGTGCAGATAGACATTGCCAAAAAGAAAAGCGAGAGCATGGTCCACCACTTCACCAGCAAGATGTACAAATGGGCTGGAATGAGGGTGTTTGTGCTGGCTGCAAGGAAGACAGAAGAGGGCAAGCTGTTGGTGACCGGGTGAGTTGGTTCTCATCACCCGAACAAGACATGTCTCATGTCCCGAAAGCCATGACTATAACGATGAGTTCGGTGGGGCGGAAAGTTTTACAAAGACCTGCGACTGGCAGGTCATATTGCCCGAGTGGGAGCCATATGTGACGAAATTGTTTGGTAAGAAAGGCTCACCAATCTCAGTAGATGATTTACTTCTGACTTATGTGCTCCCGGTAGATGGTGATGGTGAAGATGAGTGCGTGGTGCATAAGGCCGGGAGGAAGGACAACACATACATGCTGGACATAGGAGACAGTGGTGTCCCCGTCCTCCCGAACTATGACAAGATGGACTCAGGAACCAGGAAGGCGGTGGTCCGAGCATTTTTAAATTGGCATTACGGTAGGTCGCTTACATGCCCCAACAAATCAGATGATCTTAAATCGAATGCAGCCGCATGTTCTGGGAGGCCCAAAGACTCTGTGCCGTGGAAGGAACTATCTTCCCGAAAAGATGAAATGCTACCAAGAAAGTACCTATCAGATGGTGCATGAATTCGGGAGCCATTGAGGATGAACTGGGAGGAAGCCACGGCCTTGCTCAAATTCTGGTATAACCGACAGGAGGCATCAGATCGTCATATTCTGAAATTTAGCGGGTGGTGGTGCAAGGACCAAGTGAAATCTCCTGTGAAACCTGTAGCATCGGATACTGAAGAGGAATTGACCGTCAGGTCATCTAAGGCGGAGAAAACCAAAAAGTCTTTGTCAAGGAAAACTTCTTGGGAGAAGATGGCAACAGGCCGGGTGGATGATGATTTCACTGGTAGCTCGGATGATGAAAGAGTTCCTGAGAAAGTACCACAATGCCAGGTACAACTAAGAAAGACAAGGCAGGTGGTTGAAGAATCATGGGAAGATTCGGAGGCAGACTCTAACGGTGACGAGCCTCGTACGTTTCTGGCCCAGGTGAAGCACAAGCAAAAACCACCAATGAAACATGCCTCGGCAGCTCGAAGACTCGTCGGAATATTCACAAGTTGAAGAACCTGAAGAGAATGTGAAACCTCCGGCAAAGAAACCATGGGTGAAGCAGAATCCTGGTTGCAAGATTGGTCCTGCTTCTCGTACTGCTGAAATACCGCGCCGAGATCAGATTCAACACCCTCGTGGTAAAGAGGGCACCTCGTCCATCCTGCCGAACCCTGTTGAGTCTGCCTCAGCTCCAGCCCCATCGGGCAAGAGGCCTGCTCCTGTGCCAACACTGAATAAGCCAGGCCCAAATAAAAAGAGAGCTAGAGCAGATCCGGATGAAATGAATGTAGCAGATGCATCTCCTGCGAAACACACCAGGAGTCAGACAAAGAAACCGGCACCAGCCAAACGAATGCGCAAAGCAACACGACGATGATCATGCTGCGCCTCTTTGCCTCGGTACATAGAATCAAATTACATAACAATCATAATACAATCATATCTACATGTGATTACTGCTCCCTGTCTACTCTTTCAAGGTCCTTCACTAAAATGTCCAGCGGATCCATTATAGCATTGTACATATGTATTAACCAGGTGATCGAGAGAATATCCTCTCCCAACTCGGTCACCCGATTTCTCGCCTCGCTGTATGCCCCGAACAACTGGGAATTGGCTCTCCTCACTCTCGAGGGACTGTGGGATGGTGCAAGACCTTGAACGGCCGTCTGCATTATGACGTGCATTTGTTGATCATCTTTAATTAAATCAATCAGTCACACTCAGACAGATGTTAAATCTCACTCACCATCTGTATGACCCAAAGCATTCAACCTCCGGATAGCCTGCATCATAGCTGCTTCCGCATGCAGAATGGCATTGGGTGTAGAATTAGATGTTTCCGGCCATGAAACGGAAGTTATGGATGCCGCAGATGCATTTGCATCCTCATCGCCTGCACAGAGGTCGGAGCTGGATGTCAGTGGACTTAAACAATATTCCACCTGCCGCTCTTTGGCTCACTCCATGGAAGCAGAGTTGTTCCACCCGAGGTCATAAGCCTCATCGATGTCTATAGCTGAAGGCACTGTAAGATATTGATTCATTGTCAGAATATAGATATCACAACACTTACAGTTGCAGCTTTGATGGCCATCATCAACAGCATCACCCCACCCAAGATCATATTCATCGTCGATGTCGATAGAGTCTACTGCCGAAGGTAAGTGAATGCATGGGGGGGAAAAAGGTAGCTGACTCAATGGTTCCATGATCTTGGGTGGTAAATCAGAATGCAAAGCGGGTGCTCCATCCCACCCAAGGTCATAAGTGGCCTCAAGGTCGACTTCTACAGACTCTCCGGGCATCTCACCAGGATGTAAGTCACCTGCATCGGGTGCAGAATCCCACCCAAGGTCATAACTGGCCTCAGGGTCAACTCCAACGGACTGTCCAGCGGTCTCACCTGAATCAATGCCTGCTTCGGGTGCAGTATCCCACCCAAGGTCATAGCTCACATCCATATTGACGTCAGCGTCAGCAGGAGTGGCAGCTCGTCTATTGCTGACCCATTCATTTTGAAACATGGCTAGAAGTCAAATTTAATAGAAGCCGATATTACTAAATATGGACTTACCTGTGAGTTTGCTGACGGTATCATTTGCACCGGAAAATGCCCTATCGTATGGGCATTCAGGGTCTCCTGGTTCGTCTATCTCAGGTGAAATGTGATACTCTGATAATTAGTTTGCTTTGCCAAGGTGTTTAAAAATAGACTTACTTTGTATTTTCATTCCGTCAAATTTGGATTTGTTCATTTTTGGTGGCACCCAATCGGCTACGGGAACAAAATTACCCCACCATTCTCGATGAGCTTCTTGCATCTGAAGTGAATGGGACTCGCCTGTTGTTGCAACAGGATCAGGCCGAGTTTCATTCACAGGTGGAGTGAAGTGGACGCAGCGGGAAGGCATGATGGGAGGAAATGCGATTTTAAAATGAACGTGCCTGATTTTATAGAAGTTAGCTCGCCACTCGGGTGGATGCAAGGAACAATGGACTTGGATGAATTCACGGTGGAACGGCTCCACAAAGCAGTTGTGGACACGTGCAACAATGAAAATAGAACATTTCCCACGATAGACGCCGAGATTGCGCCACTAATGTAATTTTATTGATCTTCGGCCCACATGTACCGCAGGGAACAATAATTCACATTCCACAACTGAGTTATCTCCACAATTTGTCGTTCCCTATAAATACTCAGCCCTTGCCCTCACTTTTCCCTCCTGAACTTCATACACATACTTTAATATCTTGTAACCGACTACACGTCAACCCGAACTTGTACTTATCATGTCAGCTTCTGAACTTGCCAATGCTGCCCTCGATGCTGCGATGGAAGACATCCGGCACTTAATGGTAAGATCCATGAAGTTGCAAGTAGGTCATCCGAACGCTATGGTGTTCGCACATGAGATCACGAAAATCATCGTAAGTCTTCTACATTGAATTATATTGTGACCGATAACTCATTATGGGCGTCTTGCAGGCACGTTCATTATGGGAGCATAGGGAGGTCTCCACTTCGTTCTCCCCCATGCTGCTGTCTTGTGCAGCCGAGATTCGTGACCACAGCGACCCTGTGACGCGAAAAATTGTTACTCTACCCGACTGGTCTGCAGTCAACATGGACGACCCATGTATCGCTGGCCACCCATAATTCATGAAGACAATTGGATATCCATGCCCAGATCACATTACTCCGGCACCCACTATTCCTGCCCCTCAGCCGCTGGTGATTGCTGACAAACCATCTACCGTTGTTGCATCACCAGAGGTATTGGATTCGGCAGAACTTCCTGCGCTGAAGTTCAACTTATTTGTTGCCGGCACCAAACGCAAGGCCGACGGAACTGACTCCGACATTCAGGAAGAAACTCGGGTGACTGAGCCGAAGCGCAAGGTCTTGAAGACAAATCCAGCACCACAGCAGAAGACTGCAACATCCTCTAAGAGAAGGAAGATAGTGAGATCGAAGAGGTTTGTCAGCAATGATGAGGATGAAAGTGCTGATGGTGCAGTGATCATTGTCAAGAAAGTAAGTTGTCTTATTTCATTTCAATAATTTTAACCAAAATTCTTCAGCCAGGAACGGGTGCACTGGCCAAACATGTAGTGCCAGTGCAACCTGCCAGCAAGGGCAGCTTGTTGAGCAACTTGTCCGATGTCGAAGAGCTCGAGGAACCTTGGCCGAGTCGTGCAGACTCTCCCATCATAAGGGTAAGCTCTTGCCTTGTCTTGTCTTCGGTGACACAACTAACCATTATTATTTTAAGCCTGACGATTGGTCAGATGACAATGCTGTCGCCACCACCGAATGGCCATCCCAGCGACTTCATCCAACAACTTGTGTCCAATGCATAAAAGAAGATCGGCCTTGTGTTGTCCGGCTCAGTCGGAAGATTGGAGAGGTTTGCAAGAGCTGTCCTGCCTGCGAGGACAAGAAGGTCAAGTGCGTAAGGCTGATTCCTGAGGCTGAAGATGCCTTGCGGAATATAGTTGCAAAAAAGAAGGCTGCCGCCGCTTCTAAAGCAACTGCCAAGGAGAAGAAGCCCCACGGCTGCAAACAAGCAAAACCGGCTGCACCTTCGACCTCCCGGGTTCGCTCACAGAGATCAGTGAGTAGTGCGACTCGATCAACGGCCAAGACTCGTCAGGTGTCTCCAACCGAGCATGACTCAGAGGATGAGGCTCTCGTTCCATCCAGTGATGTTGATGCCGAGATGCAGACACCGGCCGAAGAGGTTCCAAACAACAGTAATGTTTGTTTCCGACCAAACATGATAGATGCTGATGAAATTCCCCAGATGCGCCCACTGTTGCCGATGTTGAGCAGCCGCTAATCGATTTTGACTCAGAAAATTCCGCTGATGATGCTGGAAACAAAGGTAAGTTTCCTCCCGACCATATGTGATCAATACTGACTTGATTTAGACATGCAATTTGCAGGAGATTTTGGGGTTGATACAGAGACTCCATTAATGGACTTGGACATTCCTCCCTCAGATGTGCAGTCCGAGGCACCTCCTCCACCCAAGGCGCCGGTTCCTCTTGTCGTCGCCAACGTCGTGCAGGTCAATGCCCCTCCTCCCACTGTGCATGCTCCTCCCGTCATTCTTCCTCAAGTGACTGCAAGAGACCTTCTGCTCGGTATGGAGGCTCTCGGGAGGAGAATGAATGACCTTCAGGTGTCCAACACCCAGGTGCAAGCTTGGCATGCGCAGATGGGTGAGCGAGTGACTGCATTGGAGCAGGACTGGGAGAAAAAGTTCAATCTCCTTGAGGCGAAGGTCAGCAACCTGGAACTCAAGACCCTCAACAATGTGATGGTGTCTGGTAACTTGGCCAGCCTCATCAATTCCATACACCCGGCGAATAACCCTAACCCGTCCTTCGCTCCTCCTCCCATCGCCGTAACCAGCACCTTTCCTTATGACACCCTCCCCTCCTCATGGCGCCCTGCAGTGTCTTCAACGCCTGCTCCCACAGATGAGCTATCTGTGTCTCACGTCGGTAGGAGGTACACGCATGCTTGGGATGAGTTGCATGTCTTGCCGGAAACATCAGACCCGGCTGGTCCATCCAAGTCACCGGGTGCTGCTTCAGTATCTCAATCTGCAGACAAGTAGTGATATAGTTTGAATAATTTAGATATTTGTACCATATTAGTTTATCAGTAGTTATCAGTGACCAGCATCATTATGTAAATTGTACCTACGCCAGCATCATGTATTATATCTCGGCTGCAATCAACAAGGTTGATCGATCTTGACTATTGTCATGTTCTGCTAGGGTTGTGTAACTCTCGGTTGCAGGGCCTCTTGGACTATGAAACCCCATCTGCGCCGTGATATCGGTAGCATCTGGATTCGGGTGCAACCTGCCATGTCATGTTTTCTTTAATAGTTATTATCCATTTTTTGTATGCACCTAGATATATGGGAGAGTAAAGTGGGTAGCGCATGTATATCGGTAAGAAGCTATCCCGGGTCCATATTTATTTAGGTGGCCTAGGTTGGGTGTCCAATGGCAACAAAGCCTGGGGGGGTGGATCAATCGCAGTAGCACCATTTTTCGGCCCTACTGTCAATACAGTGAGACCATTGCACAGGCCCAACCATCAGTTATTCACCTCGGCAGCATATTTACCTGGGCCCATCCCTATATATAGGCTTGTCATATCGGCCCTACTATTAAGCAATATAGGTGGTACCATTGCATGGGCCCAGTCGTTCACCTCGGCAGCACATTTGTCTGGGCCCATCCCTATATATCGCTTACTCATATCGGCCCTACCATCCATATCCATATAGGTGGTACTATTGTATGGGCCCATCCGTCCATCTCAGCAGCACAGGCACCTGGGCCCATCCCTATATCTCGCCTACTCATATCAGCCCTGCCATCAGGATGGGTATACTATTGTATGGGCCCAACCATCCATATCGGTAGCACAATACTTATATCACATACTGGGCCCACCCCTAAATTATGGACCACTAGACCATATCTTGGGCCCACCCCTCTCCATCAGTACACCTTCATTTGGGCCCACCTCGGGTGACCCGTCTCATTGGGCAGATTATCAACTTCGGGTGGCCCTATATATCAGAAAAAAGTTACTGTAGTATGTGGTCCGCCTTGAGTCAGACACAATTGCAACCCCTCACTAAATTCACAAATCATCCAAATGTCTCAGCAAGCAGAACACCAAGTGCGATTCAATATTCCAATGGATACCAATGATGAATCACAATACCATGCCGAATGTGGATCGCCGATGCGGGACACTGATCGCATTAAAACACGTAAGTCTCTGCAATTGAGACTCAACACCTCTGACTATTCTGCAGCATTCTATTTCGGCATTGATCGCCCACCGACAAAACCACCTGCGGCAAAGTTCAATTTTGGCATGAACATCCCCATCCCTCCGGCACCGTCTCCAGTAGATTCGCGACCCAGATACAACTTTGGAATGAACTTCAACATTCCTCATATGACGCCGCCGACTGCACCCAGCCCACCAACAAAGCAGGCATTCAATCTTGGATTCGATCTCCTGGTGCAAACTCCGGAGCACAATACAATGCAGCCTTTGACTGGTGCCCAACCATTCAACCTCGGCTTTAATCTCTCTCCAACTTCAAATGATAGGCCAACAACTAGCCAGGGTAATCCTGTGAAGAAGCAGTTCCACCTGGGCCCACCGGCAACCAGCTCCACCCCATTCAACTTTGGCTTCAACTTGGGTATGCCGACTGGTGATATGCCGCCAGCAGGATCGGTCACACTGCCAGTAAGAGATCCTTCAGTGCCTGCCGGAACATCACAGCATGTAGGTTATGACATAGATAACAAACGTAGGCATCATATCGTCACTTACACTCAACACTCACGATCTGCCGTAGTGTTCCAGTTTGGATGTGAGCCTCCTGAGCCTGTTGGAGACTGGCAACCTGTGCTCTTACAGGCGCCCCAAACCAACAACAATCCAACCAGATGAGGTTTCCTCCACCGCACCTCTTCTTCCCAACATTGAAGGGGTGTTGCAGCTGCCAACTGTGGCATCCTTGGTCGGCGATGCTGAGCGCGCAGTGATTGACATTGTGAGATGCCTGGGGGGAGAGGAATGTAAGTTTGCTTCACCTGTTAATTTGGCTGGTGCTGATTATGAATAGATGACAAACTAGTGCAAATGATGGTTGGCGCGGCATTGGGTCCTGGAGATGATGTCAGGGATCCCAAACCTGATGAAATCTTAGACAGCAATCGGGTTATGCTGTTGGCATTTTTTGAAAGCCGAGACAGGCTCACCAGGATCTTCAAAGACCTGATCGGCTTGCATCACATTGCAGCAGTGCATAAATGGGTTGTGCCAGTGGTGTACAGTTTATTGCAAGAGGTGGAACATGCGGAGGCAAAGGCTGATAATTCAAACTAGACATGTAGATACT